GGAGAGGGGGGGGGGTGGATTGCAACTTCCCCACCGCCGCTGCCATTGTACTTGTGCAGTTGGATGTGTATTGGAGGAAAGAACTGCATTGTGGAGCGCAGAGAGATGTACAAGGTGCTGCAGCTGCCAGCTCTGTTTACTAAGGAGCTGGGCTTGCAGCCAGTCCTTTATGAGTCACCAGCCAGAAGGGGAGGAGCCACATGTCACATGTTCACCAGGGAATTAAAAAAATGGGGCTTTTTGCAAAAATCAGTCACAGGATGAAGTTCTGTGCAGTTGTGTCACCAGGGGGGGAAAATTGTTTTGTGTCATGCAGCAACAAGTGCTCAGTTTAATCTGCGTGATCGTTGTAATGTTTCACTAGCTCCATACTCCACCCAGCTATAAAGGGATGAGGACTCATTCTTGGCAGGTAACAGCTTGCTCCCATTGCCCTGAACATATAAACCTAAATCCAGCTAATTCCGAGACCCTCTGCTACAGACTCTATTGTCAGATTAGTGCGCCTACAAGCCTCGGCACATCCGACAAATTTAAAGCTGCACTCCAGTCCAAATGGAGGGCGCCCTACCTTGCGAGTAGTTCAGGTTTTCGCCCAAACTTTTCTGAAGTGTACAATCTACCCTGTCGATATTCTGGGAACTCGTGTTTGTAAGGCAGAAGAAAAGTTCCAGAATACACCCACTGTCAGCTAAATGCTGTCTGTCATGCACAGAAAGCCACAGCAGAGGAAGCCCCCATTCACACCTGAGCACGAGCATTTTCAGCAAGCCCTATTTTTTGCGTTTGCAGTGGAACAGAACGCTGGCAAAGTCTTGCCACGCGTCCAATCGCACTGCGGGCGGGGGGGGGGCGTGGAAGCGGTGCTATTGAATTCAATGCACTGCCACGCCCCCTCCCACCCCAGAACGCGGGGAGAAGTTTCTTAGCGATCGCGGTGCGTTCCAGCAGCTACCGCTCTGGAACGCACACACTTTCGGTGTGAACAAGGCCTTACACCTGAGCACAAGCGCTTTCAGGCTTGAGCGATCTTGTTTTAGCCAATGGAAAAGCTAGTTAGTTAAAGGAGACAATTGTTAGGCACAAAATCACCTGCAAAAACGCCCATTACGCCCATGCTTTTTTCAGGCAATCCCAAAGAATTCTATAGAAGTCCCAAAGAAGTCTATATCAAAAACGCACAATTCTGCCCCCCAAAAAGTCAAAGTTCTCTTGAAACCTAGGGTGCCTCCAAAGGTTGTTAGGGTTCAATGAGCAATTCCCAGTTCTCAGGTAAGTTACCACTGACATCAATTATCTTTTTACTTATCTGTAAGGGGAGTCTTTCCACTTACCACCAATGAAAGGAGCATTCTTCCCACTGACCACAAATATAATGAGGCTCTTCTCAACTGACTACCACTGTAAGAAGCATTCCTCCAACAGACCACCAGTCTTAATAAGGCTCTTCTCTTCTCAACACCAATGTAAGTATGTCTTTCCTTTACTGACCACTAATATAAGGAGCATTGTTCCCAGTGACCACCAATATAATGAGGCTCTTCTCAACTGACTACCAGTATAAGGATAATTCTTCCCACAGATCACCAGTATGATGAGGTCACTGACCAATATGTAAGGATCATTCTTCCCAATGACTACCAATGTAATGGGGCCCTTCTCCACTGACCACCACTGTAAGAAGCATTCCTCCAACAGACCACCAGTCTAATAAGGCCCTTCTCTTCTCACCACCAATGTAAGTGCGTCTTTCCTCCACTGACCACCAATGTAAGGAGCATTCCTCCAACTGACCACCAGGCTAATGAGGGCCTTCTCTTCTCACCACCAATGTAAGTACGTCTTTCCTCTACTGACCACCAATATAAGGAGCATTGTTCCCAGTGACTATCACACTAATGAAAGCTGTAACTATAATAATTATTAGCAGTGTCCCCTGAGACCAGAAAATTATTTCAACGGTTCCTTCCATGATAAGAGGGTTGAGAAAGGCTCCCCTAATGGAACCAGCAAAATATATTATTATCAGTTGTGACTGGAGTTACTTCTAAAGAGAAACAGCAGTTTTATCGCTAAGGCAGAGGCATAAGGTATCAATTTTAAGTGGATCATCAAGTTAAAATCTTCTTTATTTGTTCAAGACATAAAACCAGACACAGCAGTCCCACTAATGTGGTTCCGCCAAAAGCAGCCTTAAGCATAGCTATAATTAAGGCCTCTTTTGACTGAAAATGCATTAGAAGAACTCTGCTATGTCTGGTTTTATGGCTTGAACAAATAAAGACGATTTTAACTGGATCCAGAACCGTGCACAAACCATTTTTTCTATTGTTTATAATGAAGGGCTGATGGAAGCATTGGTTGTGCACCTGTGTTCCATAGAACTGCATTGGAGGAAGGAGGTAGAGCACTCTGTCTTCTGAGCTCATCTGATTGTCCATGCACTGAATTAATTAAGTAGACCCTTGAAGTAGGTTAGTGGGATTGAGAAGAGGATTTAGACCTAAGTCAATGGACCTTTGTCCACATCATACGAGTTTTGCATTTCATATAAGTCTATGGGAATGAAGTACCTGCTTGAAGCAGGTCAAACAAACGCAGGTCAGAAGGAGGCCAACTGCAGCTATCAACAAAATTCTGAATGATCTCTGAACCTCCTCAGATTGATGTAACACAGGTACCATTGACACAAGCCCAAAACCCATCAAGACAGGCCCTTAGATTTATCAACAACTATTTAACAAGAGGACCCACCTAACACACCCATTCAGTTTATACTCACTCAGGAGGGATCATTACTTATCATGAACTCGATAGTTATTGGTCAATCTAAATTGTGCCATCTGTGTGTCCAGCTTTATACGAATTTGTGGGAATTTGGCAAACTTCTAATTTGAGATAACTGAGGGATCATATGCAATACACATGCATGTTTCCTCTACCCGGAAGTATAATTTATATATTAACTGGTTGCGTCACACTTGTATTTAGCAGACATACAACTTTATCTGGCACAGAAGATTGTTACTATATATGGAACATCTGACTTGCTTACAGTATTTGCCAATGTGATCTATTGAGCTGACCAGAGATATTAGATGTGCAACACAGTTTGTGGGTTACTACATCCCAAAGGTGTAAATGTATCCGACCTAAAAATAGGCATCATTTTCCTATGCAAATACATTTTGTTTTGCCTGTTCCCTCTTATGACCTGCCGGTATTGTTCCAGTGCCAGAACTAAAAGTGGCAACATCATGAAAGTGTATGTGCAATTGTTTATACTGGATGACAGCTCAATAAACCATTCCTATACACGAAGGCTCTATTCATATCTGTGTGCTACGGCAACGTGTGCAAATAGGCGCGTTGCCAATGACTGCCATTCATGGATAATGGTACCCCCTTGCTGCACCATGTGCTTTCATATGTGGACATTTGCACCAAAACACTTTGTAACAAAGTACCGTGCGTTGTTATACTGCATGTTTTGAAAAAAGGTGCAGGGACTTCTTTGGTACGATTGTTGTGCATTAGGCAGCTCAAGGAAAGGACCACGATGCACAAAAACATGAATACAAGCAGACGCATTGTCACAACCGCATAAGTCTGGATAGAGCCTAAAGGCCATTTTACACGTATGCTCTGCAGCATCATTCTATTGCACTTACGCATGTATACATGTGTGTTGTATAAGAATTTGAGAATAATTGTCGCCACAATAAAGAAATGTTATGTGGGGGGGGGAAATGGCGCAGATATGTTTTTTCATGCATTGAAATGCTCTGCCAGCCCATTCGAAACAAACAGGCTGTCTTAAAGCTGAGAACCAGGGGAATGAACAAAAAAGTTACTTTGTGATTGG